CATGCAAGTATAGGTGAAGATGAAATTCTAGGTAAAGGCTAACGATAGTAGAACAATAGAATCTAGGTTGAAAGGAAACAAAGGCATGCACAAGATAAGAAGTTGTAAGTCTACAAATAGATTTAGAAGAATATTCACAAAATAATAATAATAATAAAAATTCAATAAAGACGAATATAAGAAATTAACTTTAACGGTGTTACCGCCACAGTGATTTCGAGGTTCTCGCCAAATCATGGGTATTACGAAATTTATTGCATCCCTTTTTCCATTGGACCACAATCGTAGACATACAACACATTTCTGGCAGATAATATAAAGAACCCATGGCTTATCTTGATAGCACAATTCTATTCTAGAAGTATTGAAGATACGCAGTTTTCACGAAGTACGATATAGGTTTTCGATATTTTTCAAAAATATATTCACTATATATATAGCAAAAACAGTTTGGATTATGTAAACAACATCTTCTTGGGAAAGCCACATCGAAAACAACAATAAAATATATTTCAATGACCGGCAAAACACAAAAATCTAAACAAAGTTGGTGAATGAGGGTAGTTAGCTATAACTCAAAACGATATTAGGAATTAAATCTGGGCCCGGACCGCTATTTGGTTTCAACTTAGTTATGCTCTCAAAAATAGATTCTAATGTAAGATACACTGCGTTTAAATTGACTGTAGTATCAAAATTCGGTGGCACATAAATTCGGTTGGTAATCAGATAATAAACAGATCGAAAGAAATCAGCAAAAAGGTTACAAGTTTCGTTGTAGTTTGTACTCTATGATTTTGAAATGAAATCTTGTCGTAGGCTATTTACAAACTTAAAAAATCCCTTTGGATTTGCGCATAAATTACGTTCAGTTTAAAAAATTTAATTGGTTGTTCTTGATGGTAATTTTCTAATGATGGAGGGAAGCAAGTACCTTTTCATTATCACTTATCGAGAAAATTACTCTAAAAAGAATGCTATTTAAAGGATTTATATGTTGTTTATTTTAGTTAAAAAATAATAAAACAAGAAACGATCCTTATTATGATGTTAAAAACATTGATATGATCCTGGATTTCTTCGTCGTTTTTTAAATTTTACGGCGACTTATTCAAACGTGATCTAATAGGTATTGTCTAGGCAACACCTTAATTTCATCAGAGGTTAAATTATTGAGAATGCACTTTTCTTTAATTTTTCAATAATATCATTTATATCAATCATTGGAGCTCTTATTAGCTTTATGTTTATGTTTATACTGAATTAAAATTAAACTATGGCTTTAATTTTGTTAATTTTTTATTATTTTATTAACTAATACCCCATGTTGTTAGGAAGCATATGCGATTCGCTGCCTACGACTAGGGATGGGCGATATCCGTAAAAAACATCAACATCGAACTATCGATTTTTTAAAATTTTCGCCATCGAACCTTCGATTGTTTATATCGATATTGGAAATGAGCGCGAAAATTTAAAAAAATTATAATTATCTCTAGAACAAACATACAAAACTGATAATTCGAATTTTCAGTTTATTTTTTATTCAAATAATTAAAATCATTTATTAATATAAAATAAGTAATCTTATCAT